TAATTTGTTCCTCAGCCTGGCTTCCAGGAGACATCCATTAAGACCGCTTGGACTCCAGACATACCACATTGAACGCGTCCAAACAAGCCAGTTGACCGGACAGAAGAAACACGCATGGATTAAACCGAAATCTCACTCGACGTCGGATTGGAAGTTTGTTTTGAAATCGGACAACTACAGCCCGTGGGTTTTGTTGGAAGCGATCAATCGGAATGGACTGGGACGCATCACTATTCGCATTGAGCTGTTGATGTATGTGAGACCACAGTTGTACGGTGGTGCATCTGGGGCTTACATTTTCTCGTCCTGGTTCGAGGCCACATATGTCGGCCATCCTAAATTTCTGGTAAGTTGAAACCGACGGAACAATTTGATCGTAAAGTTGATCTCTTGTGCTAGCGCGTGCGCGTGTAAGTGCGTGTGTCCGGTCTACTAGTTTTGTAATTGAATAAAGAAGAAAGTCAGTTTGCAGAATGAAAGAATTAATTCACCACCTCCACAGGTAAGCATACTGTGCTGAAGATGTTTTTCATGGTAAGCGAACTAACGATTGTGGGATCAAGACAAGATCGATCGTGAGAATCAAATCAAGCGAAATGGTACCGCGCTCAATCACAGTACTAATTTGATCATCTCGTCACGTTTTTGCAATAAATGGGTTTGTGATTTGAGATAGTTAGAGCCTTTTTCAACGAATGACTGAACATATCTCGGTGTGAGTTTAGGAGACGAGAAACGACAAATCTGAAACGACCATGTCATCAAATGCACAGAAAAGACTCAAATCTGATTGTATGCACAACATGCAAATGAAAAGAAATGCTTTGTCATCTCTATCCACCCAGTTTTGCATATTCACAACACAGTGAGTACTACAATGTTAGTAAAACATGCCAAAGCTGTGACAATTCCCTATCACATACCCGATCTATGCAAACAAAGTGAATATTCAGTTACACTAGCATTGCCTTGGTGACTGAAGTGTTTTACGCTGTTTCAAGATGGAATGCATCGTGTATTCGGGCAAATGAAGCGTGAACTGAAAAGCTAGGAAGCACTGTACAGCGGTTTCATCAGCACTGCGAACCCGTCAACCTGGCTGAGGTTCGAAAACGGGACCTCTCAGATAGTCACTCGGCCACCGGGCGGATCATGCAGTTGTTCATTGTCGATTTATGTAGTTCTGTCTATTCAGCAAACTTATCTTCAAACAAAACAACAGAGTGGAGAACGAGGTCGTTTTCAGAGATTCGTATTTATGACAATATATCTTAATATATATCACTACGTGCGAATAAAAGTGTTTTGGGAAAATAAAATCCCAGATTAATAGAAACGATTTCATCATGAGACCGGAAATCGAGTTCACCGCGATCACACATTTGTTTGTCCATTCATCTGATCATCGAGATTACTCGTGACACGGTGTGTGTATATGTGTGAGGCGGGTGAGGTGGATGGGCCAAGGAAGCTTTAACACTTGCACAAATTGTTTTCGGGCCCTCAGATGGGGGTGTGAGCAGACGAATGCACACCGCCTCTACTGTGGCCAGCATTTGACAACGAACCTGCCTTGATAATCACCCATGAACTTTGTACAGGGGTCGGAAAGCCTCGGACACACGTTCACAATGTGATTTGTTTCGGTTAGGTGTGAAACCACGGCACTGGGGAATAACTTAATTATTCCCTGGCCCATCCTCCGTACATCGTATCATGGTGATTGGATGAGTGGACAAACAAATATGGGATCTACAATCTTGTCTTGGTCTTACGCTCGCTATTATATGCGCATTTGTAGATATGCATGCAGCTGTGACTTTTTCATTCATATCTGTAACTGGAAAATGCTATCCCAATTGCTTAAACGGAAAAGTCATCTGAAACAAGTTTTGTAGCGCAAAATGTGAACCAATTGAACTATCTGAAATGTCTAAAATATTGCGTTTCTTTCAATCTGAATGAGTTAGTACGGTAAACAATGGCGAACTTCAGAAAGGACCTCGATATACAAATCACTTGTCTAATTAATGTTGTTGATGCAGTGGTGTGCTAACTCTTCCTGTGTGCCGGGTGGTGGTCATTGTTCGTCTGGTTGCCGAACTGTGGGCAATTTATTCGCGAACATTTCGTCACACAACCGAGGTGAGAAATTCAGTAGTCTAGCCCTGTTTCTATTTCTGTCCATTCATTCAGATGGGGTCCTCTCTTCCGGCAGTCGGATCCCACATGCTTATTGAGTTTCGTGTTAGTTTTCTTTTTTAACTAGCGCGCTGGATTGATTCATCAAGAAAGATCCTGAATAATAATGAACCGTTGGCAAACAAACTTCTCTCTGTTCAGTTACCCCGAGTTGAGAGGATAGCTTTGCTTCATGTGATTGGTTCACGGCGTATTAAAGAAATTGTTTCTTCCGGGCGTAAATCTGTTCGACTTGACAAAGAGCAAACAGTATTTTTTTGCCCATATCGCGTACTTACGGTAGTTCAGTACTGCATATCTGTACAGAAAAGTAGGTTCCGCAAACTGATTGGCTCGCATAACTCACCTCTTTCGAAATCGATCCCCAGTTATTTCCCAGTTTGCTAGTGTAATTAAGCCTTTCATCTACGAGGCCGGTTCCGTCAGTTCAGTGTAATCGAAATACCTTGAGATAGCCGAGCAGTTTATTTAGATTTAGGTGTAAGGTCCTAGGCATTTGAATATTATCTCCTTGAGTCGACCTCCATCAACGCAGTGCCAACTGCTCTAACGAGGGTTCAAGTGTCTTATCAGAAGAAGTTACTAGATTGGATGTGTATGCTGTTGTTTCCACGAAAAAATTGGCATTCAAGAGCTTTCAGGCAGGCACAATGAGCATTTCTGCTGGACGGTAATGAATCATTCTTAGAATCACAACTGCAGATACGCTGCCGAAAATGTATTTCGATCTGGTTGATTGAAATAAACAGTTGGTCGCATTGTGACCGCTCTGGTATGTCCCGTTCCGGACCATCCTATTCGCTCTCGAATTCCATCAGTTCTCCAGGTACACGAGGCAAATTCAAACATTTCATTGTTACAGTTTAGTCCAAAAAAATTAATCACCAAACAATTTTGAGACAAGTCCGACACCGGTGAAAAGACGAACTAGTTATAGGTTGCATCCGTCTGGTTCCATTGCGTTCACTCGGAACAGCGTAATGATCAGTCCATGCAACGAACATATACCCTCCGATTTTGTAGTCTCTCCAATTCCCTACCCGCTCATGTTGCTTGGGCACCCGTAATGGATTCGTTCAAGCGCAAACTGAATGAAACATTGTCATTTCTTAATTTGTGAAACCCATAGCAGAACACACTCTCTCTGTGATCGGCAAATCGGTTCAATTATGCAAAAACTTCCCATGACACATGAAAAAGCAATTACTTGCCAATCGTTCTAGTAATAAAGTTTTGATTTTAACCGTGATCTGGTTGAGCCATTACCGACTCAGTCAGCTAAACAAATCCCTAACAAACGGATTGAAGGCTGTAATCTCATTGGTTTCTCTATTGGTCTTATTATATGCAACCCTCTCAGCCTGGAAAATGCACTCGGGCGTTTTTTTCACTCTCTTCGTGGAGGGGAAGAGACACAGATCATTTCACAGATCACAGCAATTGTTCTACAACGGACAGACAGTGATTTACTGATGACAGATTCCCTCCATCTCTTACTGCCGTTTTGGCTAACGTGTGCACAGGTGTAGTAGCCGAGGGGGTAGACAAAAGTACAAAAAACAGAACAGTAGTTCGTACAAGAGAATAAACCAGCAAGTGTAGGGGAAACAGATGCACGAATTAGTTCTTTAAAAGACATCCGAAGGTCACACGTGAATTGTATCAGTACCTCACGTGACAGAGACGCCTTACAGTAAATAAGTTAGGTGTCTGTGTTTTGGGCGAAATCAATTGTGTTTGGGGTGTTAGTGATTTCATTATTTGATTCGTGGCCAGGAGAAAATGAATTACATTTGAGCAGTCATTTTTGTGCTCACAGAAACGGGTACAATGCCAATGATCTCTATAATGTCCAGTTTGTATGCGCCAAAAAAATCTCGGGTTTGTAGCTAGTTCGGAATATTTACGAGCCTGGGAACAGATGAAATTTATTGTATTGTATTGTACTGTATTGTGATAACTTCTGCAGGCATGAAGCCTACATTTCAGTTAAAATACACAGTTTGGGGCAAGGGGGAAAATATATATATAAAAAACAATTACAATGGAAAAGAAACGGAAATTAAATCCGAAAACTGTTAACAAAGTCTGTAAAAACCTGCTCTTTGTTAACAAGAATACGTGCTAATGAGGGTACTGTGGAGT